CTAATGTCCGTCTAACGTGAGCTATGGAAATATACATATGCATGTCCCGTTATTATTTATAGGCCATATTCACAATAAAACCTATCGGATATTATAAGCCGAGCAGAAATTAAAATTCGAATACTTTCTGACATACGAATAGGTAATCCTTAAAGATTTCTTAAGCTCGTATTTGCTCTGCTGTGGCTCTGATGGCTTTCGTGTCGTTGGCTGTCGCCTGCATTCGTTCCACACAATTTGCTCGGGCTGCAATGAATTTCGCAAGCATTTGTCTCGGCCCACATAAAAACCGGAGAGCAGCCATCGGGCAACCACTCAGGCTTTCAGCATGAATTCGACACATATTTAAAAACTCATTCACACGTCCTGCCAACTTATTTAACAACTCAGCTCGGCTCAGACCAGCCCAGCCCAGAGCCTCACAGATGGCAGTGGAGCATTTGTATAGATCTTGTGCGATGTACTTAAATTACTTGAGGACGACGAATGCTGCTCAGCTTGAATGCAATTTAAGTACGTACTTCACAAGCAAATGTTTCATAGAGCACCCATCTAATAGACACACACCCACACTCACACACACCCACACTCACACACACAGAACAGAGAAACACATACAATATCTAAACTGTAGAGCACTTTTCGACCAAAAAAGACACTTTGCACGGGAAGCTGTCGAAATGGGAGCCGACATTCTCGTCCTTGCCTCCATCCTGCCGGCACTCAGCGCTTCGTATAGTATTTCTCTTTTAGTTTTTGGGTTTTACTTGTTGTTCTCACTGCTGCTGCTGCTGCTGCTACTCCTGCTGTTGTATTTTATTATTTAAAAGCCTAAAATCTATGAAGTGCGGTGCAAATATTTGAAATTGTTAGAAAAACATTTGCAACTGACTCACTGACTGCTGCATTTGACAAGAATATTTAATTTAACTGCTGAGCCACAAGACGACTCCCACACACACCCACACACTCTGCTCAACACACACACACACACGTACAGCGTGGTTGTGTTAGCTACGATTAAGCTAAATCTGCATTCTGTGTCGGGGTATAACAATCTTAGCAGCAAGTTGGCAATATTTTTGGAAGGAAAATTATTTAATAATATATAATTATTGAATAACTATTCTAAAAATGTAAAAAAAAGTACCGAATTTAATTCTTAATTATTAATATATTTAATTTTAAGATTGAAATGATTTAACTTCAAATAAATATCATACTAATATTTACATAATATATATATATTTTTATATTATATTATACTGTCATATATTATCATAATATATTATTTAATTTTATATGAATATAAATCAGTTAAATCTCTCTGCATTTATTAAATTGTTTTCATCATACATATCCTCCTGCTCCTTAGACAATATATGCCTTTTTTCTATATCGATAATAATAAATTGTTTTAAAAATATTAAAATATGAAAAGCATAAATTGTGTATAAAAAGAAAATTAAAAATTGTAATTTAACTCAAGATCGCAACACTAATTCATATATAATTTATTTATCTTTATAGAAAAATACAATATACAAAGTATTAAAAGAGAGACAACGAGTCGGCAAGTAGGCCTCCTTTGGAAAAGCAGCGAATATGGAAGATAATTATAAGAATTGTGAGTCTATATGAATAAAGAGAGCAGCAGACTTGGCTATAATTATATGTAGGTCTCTTTGGCAGACAACAAGCAATTTATAGGCATGTTCTTCATCACAGAGTATAACCCAACAGCTGTATACTATCGATATTCCCAACAGTGTTTGGCTTAGCAACTTATCTCAGCTCCTACATACAGGAAAAGTTTCCATGCCTTCGTTCACTCACCCGCTAGAGTAGGCAAAAAGTCGACTTTCATGCAGCCGCAGATATGCGATTTGCATTTGCATTCGAGCTTGATTTTTTCTTTTTGTTGTGATATATTTTTGTTCTCGCTGTTCAGTATGTCGTCAAAGGTATTCAGTGCTGAGTGCTGATGCTTCCGTTTCCGGTTTCGTGTTTACATTTGTGTTAAATGCAAAGCCTGCAACTTGTATGTTGCAGTTCTTTTCAAACTCAGCAGGGGCGACGCTCGACAGTCGACAGTCAACAGTCTGAAATGGCAGCCCAAAGCAGTTCTCGAGCTGAAGTCAAATACAGGTGCCCACACAAGCCTGCCCAACTCCATTTACCTTTAATATTTAAAATGCTCTATTTACCGTAAATATTTCCATGGTAATTTACGCAAATTTACATAAATAAAAGCACTGATACACACACACACACACACACACTCTCACACACAGAGTAAATGCACATGCCTAACTGCTTTGGGCTCCACATAGACTCATTTGAAAAATGTCAAACGCAGTCCAGCCATTATATCGTGGGCGAGGGCAGACGGCAGCAGGAGACGGCAACGGCTTGGGTGCGCCATCGTTTGTTTGGCCTAATAGCTTTTCTATAATTTATCATGGAATATTTATGGCACGCGCTTTTGTATCTAGGAATTATGCATTTATTATTCAAAATGCTTTTTATGCCACCAAACAAACGACTCTGTTGGCCGGCCGCCTGCAAATTTCCATTTGCCTGCGAGAGGGGCCTTCCCACACCTTGCCCCTCCCTCACGTAAACGTTGTCAGCGTTTAGTTTAGTTTGTTGAAAAATTGTCATATTTACAGGACTCGCCGAGTGCTTGGACTAGTCCGACTAGCCCCAGGCCAACTTAATTGGCAAATTTAAATTGAATACATTTTTCATGATAGTGCATTGGACTCTGGCCAGCAACAATTTGCGTGTGTGTGTGAATGTGTGTGTGTGTGTGTGTGCGTGTGTGTGTTGAGCAGTTTAATGATATGAGCAGGATTTATGTAGCTCAAGCTCGTAATTGGCAGCCAAATGACTGCGAGACTTAATTTGATTTCATTATGGGCCATAGAACATAGACGTGGGTTAAATACTCGCTTTAGTATCGAACTAAATGCCAACATAGTTAAGCGAGTAGTAGCGGCTAAACAGCGCAGTGGATAGTAACAATTTAAATGAAATTTAAAACAAAAATTACATGTATATTTAGATCGATATATATATACATATATATACGTATTTAGATATGTGCTAGTTATGCAAAACGAATTATTGAAATTAATATAAATAAAACGAAATAAAAATAGACAAATAAGATGAGGGAAGTAAATAAGAAAATAAAAATGAAATAACTATTAAAAATAAAGCTCAAATTTATATAATTAAAATAAAATTGTAAAAGAATAATAAAGAATAATATTGTATATTTATTTTATTTCTTATTTATTTAATTATTATTTAAAAGAACTATACATTTTTTCAAAAGTTGAATAAATTAAATATGATTCAAATAAAAATAAAGTTAAATGCAAAAATAATTAAAATTAATATATTTCATTATTTATTTATTTTTATTTTTATAATTTTATTGTCATTTATAAATACTTCAATTATAATAGTATATTACTAAATTATAATATAAATATTGAATAAATATACAATAATATTATATAATAATAAATTAATTAATTTAAATTATAAATTATTATAAATATAAATTATAAATAATTATAATAATAAATAAATATAAATAATTATAAAAATACTATACATCTCATGATTTTTTAATAAAAGAGCCTTTTAAGACCAAATATAAATTTCAAAGGTAACTATATTATATCAAATTATATTTATTTAATTTTAAATAATATTTGATATATATTTGGTCTTAAAAAGGTCTTTTATTATATTATATATATATATTATATACATAATTAAAATAAAATAATATATTATTAAAAATTATTAATGCTTATATATCAAACAGATGTTTTCAAAAAGCTTTCATCGACATCTGCTTCTGCTAATTCCCTACTAAGAAATGCTGAAGTTATTATCGCCCTTTAAGCTTCATAAGGGTTTGTGAGATTTTTTAATGCTTTTTATTTTAATAATTTAATATGAACTGCTGTCGCTGCTGCTGCTGCTGCTGCTGCTGCTGCTACTGCACTTCTACTTCTCTGGTGCACATAAGCAGCTTTCACCTGCCAACGCGCTGGCGTCGCTGGCCTCGTGCACTCGCCTTTCCCGTATCCATTTCGATTGCATGGCTTTTAACTTTCGTTCCCATTGCCAGCTAAGTAACCTACTCTACTTTAACTTTGGCCGCGACAAACTTTCGCACTGCGCAGAGCGAGCTGGATGCCGAAGTCGCGCTGCAGTAGTCCAATGCCATAAATGTCAATAGACCAAAAACCATTATGCATAATATTCCAAGCGGCAGGGCAAGCTGCTGGGGGCAGCAGCACCGCCTCGACGCCGCGTCTGTAAACGTGTGGTGCGCCTCAGCCGCTGTCTGTGGCGCCACTATCCCTATCCCTATCCCTATCCCTTCTGCGCTTGCTCTGGCTGTCAATGCTCATTCTTTACTTCTGTCGCCGCATGCTAAACAATATTTCTCCATTACAAAACAATGGACCGGGTGCGACTCCCCAGCCTCGCTCGGCAGCTGCTGCTGATGCTGCTGCTGCTGCAGAGCTTCGAGGACAAGTAACACCTTTTACTTGTGGCGTTCCGTTGTCAGTGGAAACTTTTGCTTTTTCCACTTGGCTTTTTATGTTAGCGCGTTGCAGTGTAGCCAGCCATTCCTTGGCTTGCTTATTGTCCAGCGCAGTGAAAACTTTGGCTGTTTGCTGCTAAATTGAAAGCGACTTGCTGCGCAGTGTCCTTGTCGGCGCCCTGCGATCAGTTGTCCTTGGCGGTGTAAATTGTAAAACAAATAAACAGCAGCAATTGCTGTCCTCCCCTTCCCTCTTCACTCTTTCCAGTGCGCTGAATTTAAAACTTTATATAGAAAACTAAGGGATTACAGCACAAGAAGATTAAAGTTGATCCGATTCGATAGTATTATTTCATAATTTACTTTACTTTTAAAATGCTTTACAAATAACAATTTTTAAATTCATGCTAAATAGCTAATGAATAGCTCGTAGCATGGAATAAATTTAATTGAATGCAACTTGAAATTTCAATGAACCAATGTGTAGAACGGTGTAGGTTAACGTAAATGTACGATGATGTATCACAGCCTGCCCCTCTCTATATTTCTCTCCTTTACTGCCTAGTACTCTTTCTACAGAAGTAGCCCTCCACGGAATCGCGCGACAGCTCGAACTTATCGCGCACCGTCTTATAGTACTGAACGCCCTTCAGCTGATCCATGAACTTGCGCAAGTAGCTCAGATATTGTATTTTGCCCTTCGGCTTGGCCTCGTCCGGGCACCAGCAGAGCAGCACTAGCTTCTCCCGTTTGATTTCCTGCTTGGTCACCTCACAAATGTGGCTATATTCCAGATCGAAGACACCGTAGCGGCACTCGACGGACCCGTTCCGTGTCAGGTCCTCCAGGAACTGGTTATAGTCGTTGTCGCGCGGGCCGATGGTCTCCACGTCGACCTCCGAGTCCGAAACGAGGCGATATATGATATAACGGTACTCCTTGCTCTTACGTATGGCCTCGTATATCTCCAGGCACGTTGGGCGGCAATTGTCGGCATTCATTGTGTGTGCGTTAACTTATAAATACCTGAAACCCGAAAAATGGCGGAAAACTATACAAATTTGATGATTTTTTCTCTGTACTCTTACTTGTCTGAAGTGCTATCAGAAATAACTATTTCGATCATAGCTCACTGCGTTTCGTGCGTTGCGAACCTTCGAACCTCGTTTGATAGCAAAATCAACAGCAAGCACGGAAAAACTGCCGACAACTGGAAAACTTTCAATCGCCTCCATTTGGCATTGCGCATTGCTCGGAAAACTCGCTCATTCACTCGCTCGCATCCCCCACACACACATACAAACACAAATACAAATACAAATGGAAATACTAAATACGTAAGTGCATATCTTTAGTTGGCATAGTTTTCTTAACAGTTTTCCATTCCATTCACTTATTTCTTCCAGCTCTAAAGCAGACCTCAGGCAGGCTCAGTATTTTTTCCCCCACATTGAAGTTTATTTGATTTGCAAAGTTTGTTCGGCCGCAAAAGCAAGAAAAAAAGTAAATTTCAAATGATAGTTGAAATTCACATAGAACAGATAATGGAACTATTCGTTTGCTCTGATGGGCAGAAAAACAAATGTGGAAAACTATTATGAAAGCTGCATAGTTATTGAAATTAATATAAATTATATCGAGAAGGCGTAATTGCAGTGTGAGAATTTCATAGAAGGGCTAGAGAGAGTGAAACAGCTAAGGAGAGGCACACATACGAATGTCGGTTTGAGTAAAATAGATTGACGGGTAGAGATAAACTCAGTTGGATAAAGAGAGTTCGAAAGTAGAGAAACCAAGGCAGATAAAGAGAAAGGCAGACGATATAAAATCTAATAAATTCAGCGTGCAAGAAATGCAAACACCAACTCGTCAGAGAGCAAAAAAGTATTCACAGATGTCTTCAGTAAGGAAGAAAGAGAAAGAGAGAAAAAGAACAAATATTAGAAAAGAAAAAAACAACAGACAAAAATAAACAATAAAAAGTTTACTTATCAGAATATTAAAGCAATTTGCAAATATAATTGAAAGCCATAAAACACACAAAGGAATCTCATACAGTGGGCGTGGCATGAATTCCATTCCTTTGCCAAGCAAATGCATATATGTTTGCTATTAAATTAATTAATGCTATGCAATTAAGAGCGAAACTCATCCATAAAGCCATGAATAACGAGTTTTTATTGCATTGTCTATAAGTAGGCTGTGTGTGTGTGTGTGTGTGAGTGTGTGTGTGTGTGTGTGTGTGTGTGTGTGTGTGTGTGTGTGTGTGTGTGTGTGCGTTAGTGTGTGTCGCATTCGTTTGGTTTGCTCTCGCCGATTAATCACTTCACGCTTTAAAACGTTAACCATTGCGGGGTGGGAAGGGCTTTTGAGCTTTGCCATGCTCTTAATTCAATTATGCTGCGCTTTTGTCAGGCATCCTGGAACATTGGCCAATGGGCAATTTACCCGTAATCGAATTTGGGCACAACGAATCCGTTTAAAACAATAAATTGTTTAGCTGCAACCCCGCTGGGGGGCCAAACGAAGCCATGAACTCAGCCCCCAGCCAGCCAAGGGTGGCTGGGAGTCAGCCTAGTCAACCCAACCGGGGGCGAACCACAGCAAAAATGCAAATGCGAAGGCGCGCGACGGCATTAAACTTAGCACCGGCTTAAGCTCTTAAGCCCAACTTTCACTTAACCGCAGCAAAGCGTTAAAAGCATTCCATATTAATGTCTAATTAAATGCAGCGGGCGCTCCCGCTCCCGAGCGAACGAGCTGAGGCCCGAAAATGAAATTGCGAGACAGCTTCATTTGCATTTTAGATCTGGGCATCCGGCGATGACAATCGGATGTATTTCAGTCAAGTGCTTCAAGTGGGCGAATCGCTTCCTGCTGCTGTCCGCTGTTGGCACTGGCTGCCTCCTGCTGTGTTCAGCTGCAGTTGATGCTCTCCCTGCTTCTCCCTGCTTCTCTCTCTCTCTCTTTTTCTCTGTTTGCTTCCTCAGCTCATACATTTTTCAACGTTTGGGAAAAACAATTCGTGCGCTGACAGCCATTGCTCAGCTGTTGCATTTCTTTAATAAAATATCAGGTGTCATTAAAGGTGCTGCTGCTCCTGCTGCTGCTGCTGTTGCTGCTGCTGCTTCAGTTGCTGCTGCTGTAGCTGCAGTTGCTGCTGCTGTAGCTGCTGCTGTAGCTGCAGTTGCTGCTGCTGTAGCTGCTGCTGCTCCTGCTGCTGCTGCTGCTGCTGCTGCTGCTGCTGCTGCTGCTGCAGTTGCTGCTGCTGTAGCTGCTGCTGCTGTAGCTGCTGCTGCTGAAGCTGCTGCTGCTGCTGCTGTAACTGCTGCTGCTGATGCTGTAGCTGCTGCTGATGCTGCTGCTGCTGCTACTCCTCCTCTTGTTGCTGCTGCTCCTCCTCTTGCTGCTGCTGCGTTCATTTGTCACTCGACTGCGTTTGACAATTAAAAATTGCAATCAGCTGAGAACAAGACAGCTGCCAGAGGAATCAAGCATAACATGTTAAGTCTGCTGCGATGACGACGTCTCAGCCTTTGTTCCTTTTTTTTTTTTTTGTTTGACCACTGAGCAAATGAATCGCTGCTGCAAAGTTGACAGACTAAAAGTTTGCAGACCCAAGAGTTGAGCACATGTGAGTCCTTGAACTATTGCAGCTGATGGAAGTTGACAAACGTGCATGGTAATTAAGCTCGAAAGCTTAGAGTTTCCTTAAATATACTCCACTCTCCCCATCTACATATATGTATATATATAGAATATTATTTACTTTTCTTGGCTTTCAGCTGTTGCCATTGCGGCTTATTAGAGTCCTTTGTGTGCACATGCGTCCCCTGCCAGCGATGTGCTTTAATTTGCGATCTATTATTGTACAGCTACACGTGTATGTATTCACACGTGCGCACACACACACGTACACACACATACACATATACATTCGCATCAATACGAGGCCCACAATGAACTGTTAACGGGGCGTATGCGTGTTAACATATTTGATTTGTATATTTCAATAGGGAATGTCGCTCGCAGTGTGTGCGTGTGTGTGTGTGTGTATGTGTGTGCGTGTGTCCCACCCACCCATTGCTATTTGATGGGTTTATTATTGGGCAAATAAATTAAAATTGTTTACCTTTCAGCGTATCCATACATATTGGCTGCGCCAAACGGAGATAGAACGACTCTCTATCTCCCTCCCTCCCACTCACTCCCTCTCTCTCTCTCTCTCTCGCTCTCTGTACGTCTGTCCCGATTCAATTGCGGTTTCGTGAGTGCGCGTATGTTGTGGCAACTTTATTTGCGCAAATTAATGGATAAATGTTGGCGCATACATGTATAAACACATAGAAAGAGAAGGAAAGAATAATAGAGCGAGAGAGGGAGACAGGGAGAGAAAGAGAGGCAGTTGTGCACGCACATATACAAACATATATAACATCTGTCAGAAATAACAACAATGCGATATACAGCATAGAACATGCAATATAATATAATGTGTGCGAGGCAATATGAGAACATACGGAAAAATCAACAAAAATATGCGTAATATATTTTGCATGTCACAACAGACAATTGAACGAAAATATTTTCAACTGAATCCATATTTCGAAAAAAGGCACAAAATAAATACAATTCTTGCAGGGCAGAGAGCGTTTCACAAGAAATGGGCTAAGAATAATTTGCAATTTACCAATAAAATAAATACTTTTATATTACAAAAGAAACGCAAATACATTTTATGATATGTTTTCGGAGAATTCAACTGTGACATAAGCTAATGATATAAAATGTATCAAATGTAAAATGTTTCATATAAATCATTTCAAGTCGATGGCATTGGCAGCCGGCTCTTTAATAATATTTATTTAAATTATATTGTATTTAACAATAAAATAAGCTAAAATTTTACAATATATATAAATGAATTTAATTAATTTATAAAAATAAATAATAAATAAATAAATATAAAAGTTAAATATAATTCGCAAATTAAATATAATTATTGTTTTTCGCTTGTTTACATTTTAAAATCGTTTTCTATACATAAATATATTTATGTATATTTTATATACAAAAAAAAAATATGTCTTTATATGGTGAGTAAGAATATCAAAAAAGTTTCTCGATTTCTTATTGGAGGTTGAACTTCCTGAAGGTCCTCTATGAAAGTCCACCAGTTAAAGCTTGCCTTATATATAGCCAAGTCACAGATTATCCTTAAATATATTCCGCTATTCCAAGGCTACCTGATGGTAACTCTGCCATATCAGTCCGACGAGCAGCAGCTCCAAATTCCACAGAGACTCCAGCTGGGCGTTAGGCAGCTTCGCCTCTGCACAGTTGGTCCACGGCAGCTGCTGCTGCTGCTGCTGCACTTCCCTCAGTCACTATAGCCTCTACAATTTGGAGTCGTAATGAAATTGCACACACACACACACACCCATATCCACAATATTCAAGTGGCAAAATTGGCAGCTTGTGGCGCAGGAGTCTGAACAATATAATATTGAAAAGCGGTCAACAGGCAGCAGTCAAAACTTTCATACAATGTCAGCCCGATGGCGGAGCAATAAAGCAATAGAAAGTCTACGAAATGAATGCACAGTTGACATACGAGGCTTGGCCTCAAATGGGAAATGGGAAGTGGAAAATGGTAAATGGGAAATGCACGTAGCCACGCGGTGTGGCGGACATTGAAGCGCCTCGCGTTGATTGTTCGATTCAAATATTTTGGCATGTTTTGGCGTGGGTGCAAAAGGCCAGCTAGTTCCAGGATACAGAAAATGCGTTAAATCCGCTATAAAAGCGGTTAACCGACTAAACTGCAAATGCGAGCTGCGGTTCACTTCGGCTGGGTTTGGTTCGGTTTCGGTTTCGGTTTCGGTTTGATTTTGTTTGGCTTGCATGGCATTGCAGCTGGACAGCTGACGATGCTGCTGCTGCTGCTGCTACTGCTGACGGGTTGTTTTGACCGCACTGGGCATTTGTGTGCACAGAGTAGGCCACGCCCAGACACACCCAGCCCAAAAAAGTCCAGATACAATTTGTTAAAATCTATCAATCTACCAAGCATTCTACAAGTGAAAAAAAAATTATTAAAAGTGAGAATTTTATTAAAAAAAAAAGCCAAGCAAAAGTAGAACGGGCCAGGCAGAATGACTGAGCACCAGGAAGACTTGTTGTCTAATGACGATGACGAGTCCTTCTCATACTGTCCAGAGGTCGAGGATGTATGAAAAACAATTTAACTAACACAATTGCAGAGAATTTCTATAATATTTATATAATCGCAGACTTTCACCGAGGAGGAGACGGAACAAGCGCTGCTGTTCATCAAGGAAAATAATTTGCCCATGGCCGATCTGCACTATGCTCTCAAATATGTGCGCATCTCGAATCGCGCCGTCGATCTGGACGACAAGTTTAAGGAGATACAACAACGCCTGAAGAAGCTGCGGGAACAGGACATGGTTGTTGTCAGCCCGCCGAAGTGCGGCAACTTGAGTTACAATTTCGTCAACAATCCCCAAACGTGAAGAGCTTTAATTGAAATCGAATTTGCAAGAGTTTTGTGTGATTTATTAAAGGCAAGTAAACCAAGTTAACAACCCATATCAAATTATTATTGTACCAAGAATTATCTAGCGAAGACTTGAACTGATTTTCAAATGGATTTTTTTTTAGTGTCTGAGGTTTTATAATCTTTCTTTGTTTAAACCCACATAAGTACTTAACCTCTGCATTTTTTTCTGCTTACCGACTGTGGGGCCATGTCACGATTCAAATAGATAAAATTTGACGCTAGATAGCAACAAAAAAAAAAAAACGAAGAAAAATATGTACAACAGAGTTAAGAACTGTGGGCGTGAGATGGGCGGGGGGCATGCGAGCCACACAGAATTGCATGCAAAGCGTGGAGACAAAACAGCACAAAAGCAAACAAAATTATGTTTAAGGTTATATGCTATGCATAAGTAAATAAGCAGACAGCGCTGACGGATCAGACGGACGCGAGGGCAGCCAGGCAAGCGGAAACGGAAGCTCAAGTAGCAAAAGAAAGTGTCTAACTGCCTCTGTGCATGTGTGCTACATAGAGAATGTGAAGGCTACACGTGTGTGTGTGCGTGTGTATGTGACTTATGCAAGAGCCGCAGGCACTTCCGACAATTGGCAAAACACAACAGAGAAAGGCAACCAAGCAAGCAAGCAAATCAGCCAGGAGCGGTTTAGATAGCAACAGCAGAAACACAGCCTGAGAATAAATAGAATAAAGTGAATTTAATTATATTTTAATGCAATCACTTTCTTTCTGGTTTCGCATATTCAACAAAAATACATCAAATATAATGTGAGCAGGCAAACGCAAGCTTAAGCCACTTAAAAATTCATAAAGTTCAGCTCAACTTAAAGCTGTGTGTGTGTGTGTGTGTGTGTGTGTGTGTGTGTGTGTGTGTGTGTGTGTG